TTCTTGATTGTCCGGCCGTGAGTGGTACACAGTGAGGGCAGCTGGTCACCGTTCCCATTGGTTGGGCAAACATCATGCAGACCGATGGCGTCTGTCCATACTGCTGCATCATGCCTAATGCGCGGGTTGTCATGACCCGGTAGGAATATCCGGTCGATTCACGGCACATTCGGTATCAGAAGGGATAACTAAGTGTAAAGCTGAGCTTCCATGTCATCAGGATAACACATGAAATAAAGGTGGCAAATGTACCTGTCCCAAATCGCAGGCACAGAGTCATCAGTCAGCTCTGCCACAAGCTGGACATTTAGGCGGTCGGATAGTGCATATCCAACCTCATGTTCGCCTAGTGCTGAAATGGCGTTCACCACCCAGTTGAACGTGCGACAAGCACCAGCCTCATGCAGCTTGCCTTGGTCAGCGAGCCGAGTCTCACTGAGTGCAGCAATGTCGATCCCGTAGCGCGCGTGTTCCATCACGACCAGTGCAATGTGTCGCTCGGGACGCTTACTCGTGTTCCGACCCAGTAGTGTGCGCACATTCCAGCACCCGATGTTGAGCGCTTTGTGCGGGGGCATACGATTGTGGTGGCGGGCAATGGCACGCGCGATCGACTGGATTGGAAGAAGTAGTGGATCAGATGAAACGGGGACGGGGAGAGTACAGGTGCGGGGGAAGAAGAAAGCAGGAAGGCGCCAGCAGCAGTAGCATGTTTTCGCTTATCCACCCCGTTGTGTGCAGCAGATACGGCGACGCTTTTCGCTCCTCCACCAATGCGCGACGACAGAAGTGTATTTCATGGTTGGGTTTGCACTGGCGTACTGTCAGGGCGTCCACATATGACAGGAGAACGACTCGGGTCTTCAGCCAAAGCCTTCGATAAAATGCACACCCGAAGAGCAGCTGGTCGTGCGCCATGAGTAAGCGAATCGACTCATGCGTAATGTGTGACCTGCTTTTTTGGAAAGGAGAAGGGTGTAACCCAACTAGCACCCAACGGTCGTTACGAGCAGGCGTCCAGGATACCAGTCCACAGCATAAGTTTGGGAGCATTGAGTCGAGGATCTGTCAGGATCCCGTCACTACCAGGTTATGCTGAGTAAGACAAAGTAATTAACATTGAAACTTAAGCGCACGTTTATGCGTCACATTGATAACGGTTGACAGGTATGAAGCTAAATGTCTATAGTGCATGACAGTTTACCGACCAGGAACGCGGAATCGTTTGGGATTGATGATTTGAGCTTTCAAGAAGGCATAATTCGGTTTGCAGAGGAAAATAAGTTTCTCACGAGCTCTACAAGGATGACGACGGTAATGATGGGGAGCAGGAGAAAGACGCATCTGTGGGCAACCAGCGATAGAATGCCTCAGCATTAAATTGAGAGACCGAAAAAGAAATGTTCTTACCAACAATATCCAAGATTCGGTACCTGACTTCGTGATCGACCTCTATTCGTTGGCAATTCACTGCTTCTTGTGCTCGGAGGAGCACAAAGTCGTCCGGAGTGAGATACAGGTAGTCATATCCCTGAAGACAAGCGAAACGATAACATTGCTGTTATAGACTGCAGGGAATTTGATGTTTCTGTTACAGGCGATTTGTCACAGACAGCTTCCAGTCAGACAGTCTCTCGCGTAGATCTATATGACGGCGGTATGGCCCAGTGGGGAAGCTTCAAAGGCGCACACTCTCCAGAGTCCTTCGAGAGTCAGTGATTCAGGCCACTAGGACGTGAATGATAATGGTGGACCATCAACACTGGTTATTATTAACTGCGATATAGCACAGCTCTCATCTCCAAACCTATGGATGTTACAAACGTGCAGAGGACAGGCTTGGGCGCCAGAGTTAAGACTTCCCCTGGAAGTCATTTTCTAGATGTGTATGTGGGATGATGCCTAAATGAGAAACGGATGCGACGAATTGCATCTAGTAAAAAAGGTCAAATGTTGTAGATGCTGCCGATATGTAATGCCAAGATAAGTAATCGGGACGTAGCGCAATACAGCTCAGTTCCGCTACAAACGACGAAACGCAATGATTTCAGTGTTCATAAATGGCACCGTCATAACGAGTGAAATGGATGGGGATGAGACAAAATGATAAAGAGGATGTAGGGTAAAACGAAAAATTAGGCAGAAAAGAGCATCGTGATAAGAACGGTCCCAATAAGTACGGTTCAACTGCAGCTCGCGACTCAGACGAAGCAGGATGCGTGCCAAGATACCGTCCAACACATTGAGGAGAATGTTGCAGACCACATGATTGCAGTTGCACACAGTCAGAAGGTAAATGAAAATTGTCTTGCAACACTCGGGAGATATAACGAGTTTGAATCACTTATGTTCCGTTGAAAGCTCAACGTCAATGCTCCTGTACGTTAAGTAACCTAACCGAACACAAGCCCAACAATATAAAACGACTTCCTCGGTCTAGAGATTAGCAAACACATCATTTAAAAAAGATTAGGAGCATTTAGCATTGGTTACCTGAGCAGAGAATGAAGATATTTAGATGCCAGGTTGCCACCTAAAATCGTCGTGGTTGTCCGCAGCACCCTTTCCCGGTTACTCTAATACAGTGACTGTGGACAGCCAGAGTACGCCTCCGTTCACATGGAGATCATAAGGTTAGCGTTGCGCATCACGCAATGCTCCATCCGCAGTCGCAAACTAGGAGGTAAGAGGATGGGGATCTGTTATGTAGCTGGTAAAGCTCCGCCAAATTTGCACAGATTTCGCCGAGCTCACAAGGGAGGCACAGAGTTGCCATGCGTCGACTAAGACTGTGCTGGAAACAACCGAGCCATCCACAGAGCATAGATGTCAAGCGAGAAGCAACCAAGTGAGCTATACTCAGGACACATGCATGCATTGTGTACGCTGCAGTGAGCCTACTGAGCTCTGCTCATGACACTGCTGTGAATCCCCTGAATTCCACAGTTGTTGCGGCAGTTACCGCACAAATCCATACTGAGACGAAGTGAGATTCCCTCAGGACACCATTACTGAGAGACAGCTCATGTGCCTAGCTAACAGAAACCTTTCTATAGTTTATGGTATTCTATTGAGCTACAAAAATGGTGTAGAAGCTATGTTTCACCTTGGCGGAGTCAGTAAAAGAACACTTTCTCGTTTGAGTCTCAGTGCAGTCGTGCTAGGCTGCGCAATCGTCTCCAGTCTTAGCTCGCGTGTGCGTCTGACGGATGGGTTTCGTTGGCTCGCAACGTTGCGAATTCGATTGGCTATTCTGCACGTGTGGGGTGCTATCTGTGGAGAACGTACTTGCTTTACGACCAAGAGTTGTAACAACTAGAACGTTGCGTAACGGTGACAGTGCCTTCGAAGAAAAAGCAGCAGTAAGTGGAGGAAGATCTATAATTCTTAAGGCAACTGGCTGGAAAACAAGTGATAGTCCCAATGTATGACGTTTTGCAACCGAGGGAGTATGCAAAACACCGGAATGTGGGTGGAAAAACGCTAATGCACAAGAAAGGACGGAACAAACCTTTTCCGGATGCAATGCATCCAGCCAGGCAACCCGAAACACTTGTTTCACTTCCTCGGCGACGCGAATTCGAGCTCCGGTGTTGGATGCCAGATAGATCCGAGGAATGCCGAGTCGGCGGGCCAATTGACTTGCACGATAGAAGGTTAGATCTTCTGCAGGTCCGAATGAGCCAGCCATATGAGTGGCGTCGTTTGCAATGACTACGATCGCTCGTCCGGATGGGGTATCCGGAGTGCGGACGACCATGTGCCAGACGATCATGCCAATCTGAGAATAGAGGAGGGTAGCTGGCATAAAGTATCTCTGAGTGGGTGTGCGAACCATGGAGTCGAAAAAGGGAAAAATACGTTAAAACAAAGCGTAAAATCATAAGCTAAAGCCGAAGGCATTCTTAGGGCAAAATAGACAAACGTTGTGCAACGTACAGAATTGGAACCTGGAGGTCGAACCGTTGGACGTAAGTGTCCGCCTGCATCTAGCATCAATTCAGTACAAGATACAATAAGATCCTGGCCGCTAGGACTGGCCGAAGACGTGTCTTTGACTTCTCTTTGAGACCGTGCAGAAGAATCGGCATTATTGTCGGAGGACGCAATGGGAGTGTCGGTGGAAACACATCTGGAATTTGGTCTATACATGTGCCATAAACCGAGTAAAGCTTGACGTATCACTTGAGGATAGTCGTAAACGTAGGTGGTGTTGAATTTGCGTGCCTGAAAACACGAAACAAAAGCACCGATGAAGTGATATGCAGGTAATATATAAATGGAACCACTAAGAACGTATATATATATATATATATATATATATATATATATATATACATATAGCAGTAGCTTAGGTAATGTTATCAGGGAGACAAGTAACAATTTCAAACGAGGTTCAATGCAAAGACACGTGGTCACATGGTCACCATACGTTTGGGAACATATAGGAAAACCAGTTCTCCCACTCCAGGTTTGTCAAAAGTTATCTCTTGAATATTAGCTTAAACCCGCGATTCTTCTTTTTTGAGGCAGTATTACAGACCACTGGACATCGCATGAGTGGCATGGCACCCTTGATTAAACCCCGGCTCTAGCAGATGCGATGTAAATACTGGTTTGAATGTAGTAAGTATTTCGTCAAACAACCGGAATTTCATAATTTCTACACCCGTGCCGCAGAATAACTTGTCTGTGGACGCCATCATGTTTGGCGTGCACAAATCTATTTGTTCCTGTAGGATACGTTACATGAAGCGCATCACAAAACTTTAAGCTGGACGCGTTCGAGCATCACTTCGGGTTACCCAAATATGGATTAAATAAAACATGTACCGCTGCGGTAGTCGTTCAGTTGGTCGAAACTAGCCGCTCGATAATCTCAAAAGTCTATCAACCGATCTGCCGGATGAAGGGAGGGCTCTGTTCCGAAAAGATCAAACATCGAATATTTGTAATGGTTGAAGTAATCGCGATTCGTCTTAACCAGCTGCTCTCCGTGTGTATAAAACGTTTGTGAGAATTTGAAATCGAGGATTTTCGATGGAGATTCTTCACGGCCACACACAAACAGGCACTGCCCATCCGGATAAAAAATGGACAGCCGTTTCATCTTTGAGCGAGTAGCCGACGGTGCGCATTCCATCTGCAGGGCTAGAAATCACTACCGGATGTTTACGAAGCTGGGAGGACTCTGGTTCCATCGTGGCTGTTAAGAAAACGCAGGTCTCCACAAGATCGCACAAGCCCTATCCAACACCACCACGCAGACGCATGCGTCCATGTGAACTCACGTGTCGCAACAACCCCTCCCCCCCGCGCCTATTCCTCGCATTCAGGGGAACCCATATGTTTCGCTACCACCACGCTTACTCAAGCTTGACTGCGCAGACTGTGCTAAGTGAACATACACATACCGCACCGACTTCGGTACATAATCGGGGTTGTGAAGTTTTGTACTGCTGTTCGTCGAGTAGTGAAGACACTCTGCAGTAGGTGGTCTGTGTTCTCTCTCAGTGGTAAACGTTCGAGTAGCGCGTGTAGGAAGTAGTTCCGACAAAACCGTGACGTTTACACTTCAGGCGCAGAACTCGCGTGAACCGTACAGTTCGTTGCAGCTAAGAGAGCCGTTACTACTAGACCGCTTCCTGTGTAGTGACAATGATTACGTGAACATGACAAATGAAGGGTGACATATATTAACCGCCAAGATATTCACATCACTATGCCTCATATTTGCTATACACAACCGTATTGTACTGAGCCGGAAGAGGAATAATCGAGAACGGACTCGTTTGTTTTGTGAGTACCTAGACCCAATTGGTTGGTTTACATACGTTTGACTCGCCTCCCATTGGTTGTGTAGAATTGTTGGCTGTTTGTGTTAAGTTTGCTATGTACCGTTTGTGTGGCAGCGAAGCATCTGGTCCAATGTCTGAGGTATTACTACTGTTGATGATGCCTCCTCCTTTCGGTGAGTTTCATCGTTCGCATTTGCCTTGTGGCTGAGTAGACAACTCGAAAGCTCAGCTGACAAACAGTGCATGCGGAGCATGCAGTGACGATGCGGGTTCAACAGGCACCCTAGTGTGGCGAACTGCTTGAACAATATGGCTGAGTTGGTGAGTCTGGCACTAAGAGTTGTCTGCCGACAAGAACAAAGAATTGACGTTTGTTCCAACACATGAGTACTACATCGTGAGTAGAACTGCAGAGTTTGGAGCAACCCGTTGCTTAAAACCACTTGGAAACGTCATAGGTGCTCATAGACTGCGTTGCGCTGTTATAGAGGTTCTCGGATAAAGGAGTGTATATATTAAGCTGCTTCGTCAGACGGTAGAAAATGACCTGCTTTGGTGTGGCCAACTTGGATGGAAAGATATGGAAGAGGTTCCTCAGGGAATGAAGAAACATGGGCGACTTGAGGTGCGAAAAACCGGTAGGCAATGTTATTACACTCACCGCGTATTCCATCATCACAAAAAGAAGAGCACGTACCTGAAAACGTTTCAGCTCTAGAAAGTCCTTAGTCTTGTGTGGCAGTTCAGCAGGCAACCCATGAAGTGAACCGTGAGGTAGCCCGAATGACCAAAGAAGCAGCTCACCAGTCGAAGGATGCAACACTTCCCGATACACATCCAGACCCAGATTGTATCCTTGCTCATCGAACAATGCGACTCGTATCGGCACAATGGGATCCGAGGCGTGAAAACGAATACGAAGTTTCAATTCGGCCTTCAAGATAATCGGGGAGAAAGCAAATTAAAGCAATGGCACTCACGTGACACAAGTTAGCCAACAAACATTCGATCTCACGCAAAACACTGACGGAGTTGGGTGAGCAGAAGAGGTAGGCCTCTTTCGGAATGGCTGATGCGGTAGTGACAGCAACAATAAGGAATACACTTAAAGGCGAATCCAGGCTGAAGTATGAAGCCATTGTCCCAATACTGGCAGGAGAAATTTATGGTTGGCCGGATTTATCAGAGTATTGGTGACAATGACCAGCATGAATTTCGTGTTACATTAACTGCTGGAGAATAGACAGCAGTTGGGGACATAAATAGAACAAGAAGAAGGCATCAGCAGTATGCCGGTACGCAGTACCGATGCTTCACAGGCTCGAACCCGCGCGCTCGGATTACAAGACAGGCATACGATCCTCAAGGCTACGGGCCAGGAGGCGGCGTCAGTGTGTGTACTTTGTAAATGCCGAAAACATTTAGAAATTAAAGTGACGCGTATCCCTCCAGGAAATTCAACAAAAGCCAAGCCGGAACCAAGATAACGGTGCTATTGAACAAAACAAGCATCAAAACAGACAATACCTTAAGGATTCAAATGCGCCAACAGTTGGTCAGCCGATACAATACTAGCTCCAAGTCAAGTCCTCGCAACAATCCGTGGATCAAAATACAGTGAAACTGTTTCAACAACAGTTAGCTTGTAAATCATGACGGTCCGATGCTGTCCCCGTGGCCCAGTGGTATAAGCTGCTGACTGGCGGTTCAAGCCGCTGGTGGACATGGGTTCGAATCCTGACGGATCCGATGGATGCGCACTACTGACGATGCCCAACAGGCTGAAACTGCAGTTTAGTGCTTTTCCGGACATGTGAACGACTATCTGATTTGGAAACTGGCTGCGAAGAACCTCACTCACATATAGGGTTTGCAAACAGTTCGTGTACTATGACCAACAACGATCCGGGGAAATCAACCAATGAGACTACTGCTAGCAGGGTCAAAGTAGTTACCACACAGACCGTATGGACCGCTCGCGTAATGAGTTACACAACTACGACCAGTACAAAATCGCCTCGACAAAGCATTACACAAGAATAGGTGTACAAGTGAGTATGGAAATGGAAATGGAAGTATGGAAATGGAGTATGACTGAAATGGAAGTAAGGGGTCAGGGAACGGTACAAGGTACAAAGTCAAACAAGTGATGTCTGGAACGGACAGAGTCCAGAAGGGAATGAAGCGGAATTTGAACATAGGGGGAACAGACGCACAGTGTAACGGCATAATTTATCGTTCATTCTGTCTCGTACATGCCTGAGCAGCTTGGGCTGACAGCGAATGAATGGTGTTCTACCTGCCTAAAACCCGTTGGCCAGCTTCGATCGAAGGATCATCTATCACAATAGCTTCAAATCAACCTGCTAAAAGTTTAGCATAGTGTTTGAACTGAATAGCAAGAGTGTGGACATGACGTAGCTATCTGAGGTCAGATGCAGCCTTATAACCATGTGATACTTAATGAACTGATGCGGAGTGCCACGACGCAACAGCTGATGTACAAACCAACAAAACTCCCGGTATGTGGATAGCGAAGATCCGCATCGCGAATCTTCCAAACGACAAGTTTAGCCTTTCTATTTAAACCTATTTTATTCGATGGCTTCTATTTCAATCTGACGAGATCAAATATGTTTGAAACCGGTCGTGGAGTGAGTGCAATGTTTTCGGATGGGCAGCACCCAATTTGCATCTGTTTCGGCTACGGTCCCAGTAATCAAAGTGACCAGAGCCCACTCTTCAATGGGAAGCACGACCCACATTGAGATTGCACGTCACAATCCATTCACACACACAACGAGTGTCTCATAATGGAAAACACTGGAGAAGCTTGAGGAGTGTAGGGTATTGCAACCCCAAAGTGTGCATATCAATACAGTGGCCAATGAATACTGACCGTAGTAGAATAGAGACAAAGCAGATGTAATAGTGGTTTGATAAAGGGAGTGGATATGTACGTGTTAGGGTTACTAAGTCACTCTACGCTTAGAAATTGAGAGCTAGAAGGTGGTGAAAGCAAAATAACCAGAAACTCCTGTTCACATGGACCAAAACTGTAACAGTGAGTGGTAAGCTGAGGTTCATTTGCAGCACCTGAACCGAGGAGAGCCATGCACAGACTTGCTGTTACCCGCCGTGTGTGCGGTACTCACTCTCGTGTAGCAACATTGCTTGCATAGCTGTAAGTAATTGGCATAGGAAAGGAGCAGGAAGAAGTTGGTTAGAAGATCAAGCAGAGTTGCTGTTCGCCACCTTCTTTGATGAGATGGTCATCAGGACAAGTTTAATAAGCCGCTATCGGATAGGGCACAATCAGGAAACCGGTGATGAAGTTGTACTGGTTCTTTCATTTCTAGCTGGTCAGTTCGACTTGTGCTGAAATTTTAGAAATGACCTCGACCAGCGTGCGTAGGCGTGGTTTCCCCTTATCCCTTCTGTCACCGACACGGCGCGAACTCGTGCGCCAATTGTGTCCACGGAACAGAGGAGAACTCGCCACTCTACCCGTTCGTACACTGCATCACCTTGGAGAGGGAGCGAGGTGACATCCGGGTGTGGTGCACCAATGAACAGGCGTTATCATGGCTTCACTGACGGTGGTTGTTCGTGCGGTTCACGTTCGATCATTGATGCCTTCGCAGCTTAGCGCATGTCTGGTGGGAGCACCGCGTGAGCAATGAGCGTGTTCGAGCCCCGTGTATGGTACAGGAAGAGAAAATGAACCACTCAGTGCTATTAGAGCACGCACCAGGTTCCGATGGTCGGGCCACGTGTTGCGTATACCAGCACACCGACTTCCGTGACCTGCATTGTTTGCGCGCCGGGGGTACGGTTGGAAGAGGAGGAGGGGAAGCTAAGCGATAACTTGGTCGAGAGATATGAAAACGCTCACTTCGAAGCTGGCGTTGGTTGGTGCATCCCGACTGTCTGGCTGGGGTCCGAAGGACAATCAATACTTTTGTTTGAACAGACTTGTTGATATGGTGAAGAGCCGGCCCCAATGGCATTTGTGTTGTGAGGCTCTTTGTCTCTCCCCATCCCGCTGATCTCCTCCCTCTGACGATGATCTTTCTGGACACATAATACGTTAATAAGTAGTGTGTTGCCAGTTTTTTGGCATTCTATAATTTTCAGTATCTTGCTTTTTGGTTTTTTTATTGTTATGTAATGCGGCACAATAGTTGTAGTGTCTTTCTCATTTTCACCTAAGGTGCAATGATAAGGATCACCGAAAGTGTGAAATATAGAAGCCCACTGCACATTGTCGTATTAGTGTCCGTGGGTGTGAACAGGTCCTGACAAGAGATCGCAGGTTCGATGCGTCTTATGGGTGTTTCTCACTCACTGCATTTCATCATTGGTTACTTTCTCATCCACAAGCTTTGTGTACCACATTTTCACTATAAGATAGACATTTTGCATACAAAACGGTATGCAGTCATGTAGCTGCACATGCCCACACACACACACACACACACACACACACACAAACTCGACTGGGCACAGGGCGATTGGGATAGGGCGACCCGAATAGTGAGAACAGTGGGCGCTAGAGTAAGTCCTTCTCCTGCCATGATCATGAGTGGACTCGATCATGGATGACGCTTACCCCGATCGAAGACGGTGAAGGAGCTGCCCCGGCACTTCATCGGTCTACTATGCTGCGCGCGCGTGTGTGTGTTTAACCACGAACCTTTGCGGCTGCGCAACTATGCCCAGTTTGGCTTGTAAAACGTCCAGTGTAAGATGAAAAAAGGTGCAGAAACAAGGGGTAATAATGTTAGCTGGTGCATCGCAAGTAGCTTACAAACCGCTAAGGTAATCTAGCAATCGGGAAAAAGCACTGGACGATCATTTCGCACTATTGGAGCCCGCCAGTGGTGCGCATTGCATCGGTGCCCTGCCGGGAATCGAACCCATGACCGATAGCAGTTTGCACCACTAGCCAGCGGCCTATGTCACGGGCTATATCCCAGTCAGATTTCAAGGACACGGTGCCAAGGTGTGCACACGGCTAAATTCATGGCCCAATGGGTTATACACCTTCTTATTCCCGCAGGAGTCACGCGCGTCGCTCGACAACCAGTGGCTAGTGAGAAAGTAATCACGCTTCGAGTTCAAGTTCGTCTATCCCCACTCGCTAGGGTAGTCGGGAGACAGTGTTGAAAGTGAACCCTACCGCAAACGTTTTCGGTACGGATGCAGTCTCGGTGATCGCAACGACCGTTTACTTCAACGCAAATCATGGTCCCAATAGAGAGATTAGGCGCTGTTATCCAATAACGAGTGAGCATCCGAAAGTCAACAACAAACGTCCAACCGCTGCACACGGACCAAAGCGTCAGTCGCCAACCCTCATATGTCGGACTGCCGTCTAGGCTCCGAGTATCTCCAGCTAGAAAGTCTAATGAAGACGGACTGAGCAACACAATGCATCCAGCAAACTGTGTTCACTTAGAATTTAAACAAAAATGTAAAACCACATAATACTGATACGAGTAGTAAATTAGGTACGTCTAAATCGATGAGCATCAGCGAGGCTTACAACGGCATTTAGGGTGAAATCACCTATCCTCTCTGTCGGTTTGTCTACTTGTTCCTGCTTGTCCAAAGCACGAAGCCCCATCAACAAAAATTTACACCGTATAGGAAAGTTTGACATACAAACGACACCTTAACGCGCATTAGTAGTAAAAAGCAGATCATCGTTCGCTACGAAGCAGAGAACATGACTATACGAAGTGTGGGTCGTAAAAAATGATCTTAAAACAGTACCTGGGTGACACGTAGGCGAATGAAGCGGCGTGCGTAGCGTAGCACCGTCCGGCGTATAGTCGATTTCAAGTGGTTGAGGTCCTCCAGCACCAGGATGGGAGCAAAGTTGAGAAAGATGTGGTTACCCATCACATGCGACGCACCCGGATGCGTGTAGGCCAACTCCAAAGCATCCATCGCCTCCAGCAGAGTGCGCTCGGCTTCGGATTGTAGAAACTCAAACGACGCTTCACACGATAGTAGATCTGCGTGGCGTATGATGCATCGTACAAAGAACCGGTGGTCGACCAAATTTTTTCCGATTGGGAGCTGAGCGAGGGTGGCGACAACGAAAAGTGTGTAAGACAAACGACACGTACCATAATGTACGTGCGGCATAGAAGTGGGGTAATAAAAATAGACGGAGGGGTAGGTCGTGCTCTTAGTGATGGCGACTAAAGGTAGTTGTTGCCTTCTGTAAAGGAAAAAGAATCCATGAGCATCAAATCACATTGCGTGTGACTGCAGAGTCAGCTACATAGGCAGAAGCGACAGCACTTTGAATTCTAGAGTGAAGGAAGACCTGATCAACTGGGTTAAACGCGAGGTCAACCAATCCCCATCTTGTGCTCTGTATTCACATAAGCCGTCCGCGTCATAAATATGCGGGTATATTCTGCTGCCACACCATCGGAGCAATCCTGTCTCACCGATTCGGATTCCATTGCGACAGCCTCACTCCTCATACTGACTTGACCTATCGCGTAGCGATCAGCACCTTTTTTCAAGCACCTGCATAACTTCCTCCAAAAGGAATGTTTCAAAATCAAGGAGATGTTAAAACCGGATTCCATGAGATCATAGCAGTCAGAACACCGGGATTTTATTTATCTACGGGATAACTAAACTTCAACGGAGCAATAACAACATTTCTGCGTTTTTGTGAGAGCCCGCCGTGCTTGTTCAGAAGAAACGATTGAGGAAGAACTACAGGGTATCGCATCCACCATAAGTGAAAATGGGTACCTTGACAAGTTTATTGCAAGGTATGGGGAGAAAAGCAGGCGGCACGAAGAGCGAACTGAAGTTTCAAAGAAGACAGTATTCATCGCACTGCCTTACAAAGGGCCAGAAAATGACAGGCGTTTCTGCGATCGATTACTTCATGTCATAAAGAGATGTTACTATACAGCTGAACTTGTGTTGCTCCACAGAACCAGAAAGCTATTACATGAATCCAATTTGGACAAGCCGCACTCTACTGTCACCGCCTCAGGTATTTACCAGTTTAACTGTACTTGCGATAGCATGTCATCATCATCATTATGCACGTTAGCTAGAGGTGGAAAACACCTCAGCTACTGGGCGGCAATGCGGTAGCATGTACATTGGCCGGACAGAGAGGAGGTTGTTCACTCGGATTTCAGAACACATTCCGTGGAACCTTGCTATCAATGGCGCAACTTTACCTACCAGTTCTGTTGTCCGGCACTTATTCGACTGCTCGATGTGCCAGAATTTCTATGAAGCGTACAAGGTCATTAACAGACAGCGTAACCCCGTTGTTGCACTTGGCTGAGGCTTCCGCCATCCGGCGTTTGAAGCCTAACCTATACAAACGAGTTTGTGGCCTATCTTGCTTTGACTTGGTGAGGTAAGATAGGCTAGCCAACGCAACTGAGCATCAATCTCTAGTATTGAGCTATTACTACTAATCGTTTTAAAGTTTCACCCATTGTAAGTAAGCGGCTGAAGAGTATACACGAAATATACCGAATGCGGATTGTTCCGCAGAAAAGTTCGTTGTCCATGCGCTGTTGAAATTTTAAAGGGAAATAGGTGTTGCTCGTTGGCAAAAGTGTCAGTGAATATGGCTTTGCTTAGTTGTTTTGGAGTTCTCCGAGCTGGGCAACTTGGTTGCAGACGTTTCGCCACCATTCGAGGTGGCATCTTCAGTGCGGGATTGATAGCAGGTAAGTAGCAATAGCTGGTAGAAAGCAAACCCAATAATGGCTTTGCTTTGATTAAAAAAGCCAAGTGTGAGCCAAGATGTGTATTCAAATTTTAAGATTAAAAACCGTAACAACTATAATAACAACCTAATACTATTCAACTCCGTCTACTAGGCATTGTAGCCAGCACACAGACCAAAATGCTTATTATAATGCCATAAGTTAATTGGCAGCTCAAGTCTGCCCACCTGTTCTTTCATGTTCAAAGCATGAGTCGCTCTGCCACCATCACCTATGGCTCCAGAGCATAAGTCGCTGACTGACTCATAAGAGAGCAAATATTCCGAGCTCTCATGAAGCCGGTGCGAATTAATGCTTGTTTGTAGTTTATAGGGACAAAAGCTGTTGAAGTTAGGGTACTGTCCTGTCTTTGCGCTCTAAATTACAAACGAGCACTGATTCGCACTGGGTTACTGAGAGCTCAACATATTTAATATAATTAATGAAGCTGTAATCAGAAGAGGAGACAAAGTGTTCTAATAAAATTCGCCAATGACACACTACGGTAGACAGAGTATGGCCAAAGATCACAACACGGCGAAAATCAAGACGGGTACTTCTCCTATGGGAGACAGTATGATTGAGGATGTTGTGTATGTGTTTAGATTGCGAATTCTACGGAATCAGCAGTGGTGCACACACCTTGCTTTTCGCCAAGTACAAATGCATACGGCGGTTGATGGTGGGCACATGCTCCAATTCGTAGTTGCGCATCCGGTTCAACTCCAGTTGGAACGCCAAAGCGGGCTCCAAATGCCGATAGACACGATCTTCGAGATAGTGGTCTTTTGCACGGAAGGTGTAGCATTTGGGAAATTCCCGCTGAATTCAGGAAGAAGAAATGAGGTGCACTGAACGACGGTTGAGACGAATGTTTATGGCCTAGCGGCTTTGAATCGTTTCAACGTAAGCAAATCACACATGACGAAAACAAAGCACATCCCATAAAAATAATTAGAAAGCTGCGATTCCAGTAAGGTGGAAGGTTCCACGGTAGATATTTAGATGGTGTATAGTTGTGTATGGTTTAGGAATTGACGCATAGCAAAAATTGAACAGAGGAACGATCACGATTAATGGAGAAGATCGACAGTGATGAGAGAATAGAATGGAAACATAGGTGAACTTAGTTATAAAGTATACGCCTTCAAAATTGCACAGATAAAGAGGCATTTTAGGCTTGACCAACAGCCCCACTGAATTCACGGTGAAGATCTACGGTAAAATATGTGGACAATTTTGGATACACGAAAATATCACGCATCCACTTTTAAAGAAGCGTTATCTTATCCCATTGTACTTTCGTAGCACGCTTAAGTGGTGTGTATTTCACTTTTGTGAAGAGACAGTAAAGTGGCCATTCAGCCCAACAGCCTCTCTAATTAGTGGATGTCGCGACAGAAGTGTCAGTGAGAGAATTTGCTGTGTGGAAAAAGGAAGAAAAGGAGGAAGCGTTAAGGAGGTCGTGTGTGTACCAACACCAATCACCAAGAAAAACTCCAGAAAAAGTTAGGGACATGTGTACTCAGTGCACGTCTATGCAAGGCGCAATGGATGCATATTGGATGAGAAAAAGGACGGAAACAAAAAAGAGAGACACTTACAGTTTTCACGATGAGAAATGTAATTCGTCTGATACCAGCGGCTCGAAGCTGATCAGCATGCCGGCTGCAAAACTGCTCCAACTGAGCAACATCGTCCGATTCGCTCAATGTGCGAGAGGCAGCACCCTCAGCGCATGGGCGTGAAGCAGACTTTAAACTTGCCTCGGAACCACGCTTTAGGCCATCGGAAAAAGTGGTCTCGGGTGAGAAACACGTGTCACTCCATTCATCCGAATGTCGTAGAGCGACATTCAAAATGTGAATCGGATCGGCTTCCGGATGTGTCTGAAAGCAAGCGCGTTTGCAGAAAACAAGCACCATTAGTGTTAATGCTTTCGCAACGAGTATGGCTGTGAGGTGGTTACGGATGATAAGAAGGCGTTCCGGAGGCGGGGTGGAAGTTTAGACAGAAAACTACCGGTTCACAATCACTAGGGCAAACAGAGGAAAGATTTATACTACTATCTGTGTACATTGCACATCAGTTTGTCTCAAGTCAACATAAGGTGGGAATTTCAAATTGTTTGGTTCCACGACTGCTTTTGCGGTCCTCTCCTGGCTTTTCCCTCTCTCGCTTTACCGAGATGCGAAGTTCTATAGGGAGCTTTCTGCGGATCCCGCTTCGGACTGAGGAATCGCCTTTTCGTCTGAGATGGGACAAATTTAGCTAGACTTGCCTGAAAATCCCCTTCGCCCCTAGCTCACACCGTTAGACGAAATTTTTCAACCGACTCTCCATATTCCAAATTCAACCGTCCTCCATGACTAATGGCAAACATTGACTAGTCTATTCTGTCAGTCATAGGAAAAATTTGGGCATAATCCGACTGTGGATAACCGAGTGTTTGATCTGTCTGTAAGAAGCATTGCTAAGTATACATTACCGCTTAAACGGATCGACGGCAGTGTTCCACGAAGTGGTGGGTTTTCGCCTGACAAGCGTTCTCCCTATAAGAAGCCACAAATGGCCGTTTAACAACACTGCGACGTGGCGGGTGGGACTTTCTAGCGAATAAAATCACAGCTCACGATTTACAATGGCAAGCTGCGTGGGGCAGATTGCACTACTTTTCCCCCCATCAACACATTCTGTCACCAATTCCCCGACTTTATTACTGATCCCTACATCAGACATACATGACCCACACTAACGATATTATTGCACACCAGCACCTTCCCAGTTCTGCTTCTTTTACCCGTTGCATGCGTAACCATTGTGAAACAATATCGCTGTAAAATGTTGATCATGCCAGATATGATGTGCCCCGATGCATTCGAGAATAAACTATTTATTTTCTTATTTATCAGAAGGGAACAACAATGTACCTGAGAAGTAGCACCTTGCAAACAGACGACTAACAATGGCAAAATGATCCCGTAGATGATTAGTCGTAAGTAGTGACCGTTTTTCCCGATTTCGTTCCCAGTGTAATTGCGGGCATCCAAAAGAGCTCAATGATCACGGAGGAATCTTATGAGTGGACTGCGTTACATCACTCAAAGCTCCACCAACGGCTATTGTAAACATAAAAGAAAAAGACTGGGAGTAACGAGGGTTGGGAGCACGACTGATTCGAAGTAGTCGCACGCGCCCTTAGCGCGACAATCGCACAAGACGGTGAGAAAATCCGGAGAAAATACAGGTATAGTATAAGGCGCAAAATAGAAAATAATGGCATCAACAACGCACTACAATGTAGTGCGTTAAAGATCGTTTGCGGTTAGGGATACTAAACAGCTAACCAGTTCCGTGTTGCTGACGAAACCGAGGAGTATGTGAATTAAACTAAGAATCACTGGGAATTGCTGTTGAATATACATCGGAATGAAAATATGAAGGTGATGAAGACTAACAAGGGATCAGGAGTAATTCGTACAGAAATAACTAGACTGTGGTCCAAAATTGCAGGCAACTCTTGTCGACACTAGCCGCCTCCTTCGTGATTCCACAGACCATGATATGACCGAACCAGTTGAGATGTCAACAGATCGAGAACCAGAAAAGGTAATGAACGCGGGATTGAATGAGGCGAAAACTATGACACAGATCTACTCGCGTGGAGCTCAAAGCGCTCATGCGCATAGTTTCCCAAAGTCTGACAAAGAGTACATTCTCCTGAGTGCAATTAGTTCAATGACATGCGCATCGCATCAAAAGCTGGCCCAATGACTATCCGACCTCATCAAACTAATTCAGTGCGCGCTAGCTGTGTACATTTTCAATGGTGGTATCCGGTTGGTCGGAAAGGAATTTCGTTTTTTCCCCACAGGAGATTTGACTGTATTTTTTCACAGCCGCATTTTTTATATTCTGACAAGTTTGCTTGCAAAAAGGTTCGATTTATGTTATGCAGTAGTTTTGGTTGGTGCCCATTCAAATATGGGAAGTAAAAGTAGCATGGTCGGCATATGTTACATTTTTACTGTCAAAACGATAATGTTGTTAAAACAAGAAGGAAATTATCGGATGTGTATGGAGAAGATGTATTGACTGAACGCCAGTGCCAACACTGGTTCGTAAAATCTCGAGCACGCATTAATGATTACTTAATTCATTAATAAATAATTCAATTAAGTACGTCAATTATTCAATTAAGTAATGCAAACCAGCAGAGGCTCGTAAGATGCTGAGAGCTTAAATGTGTCTAACACGACCGTGCATGATCATTTGAAAGGCGTAGGTTTCATCTCAAACCTGGGCCTATGGGTTTCTCAAGTTCCTAGGGAAAAAATGTGTGCCGTCGCGTTGACGTCTGTCATTTACTTCTCGAAGGTCAAATATGGTACATTTTTATAGCGCATCATCAATGTGCCCTAGAAATGGGTTGTGTACAACAAATTTAAACACATGAGATCATGGAGGAAACTATATAAACCGGCTCAAACCACTTCGAACGCCGACATTCATAAAAAAAGCTGCTGAATACTGAATACTGTATTATTAGAGCAAATAGAAATGAATTCTGTACAACTCTTTCGAAATATGGTGAAAAACGTTATAAAAGTTGTCAGCCGTGAATATCGTTATCGTTCTAATGTAAATTTAAAATATCTGACTTACGATATTTCAGGATTCACGAATGTGATATGTCATCGTAAGTGTGCAGTCGTTCTCTGAATCGAATAGTGGCAAATAGACCGGACAAAGGAGCCGGGATTGTATTGATGAACAAGTCAGATTATATTGATAAGATGAACACCATACTAAGAGACGCATCGAAATTTCGCAAAGTGCAGAACGAGAAAGACAGGACGCCGGCAATTGAGAAGACCATGACAAGACTTTTGCGGCGTTTGAAACAAAATAACATCATAGACTCTGACACTTTTGAATACGCCAGACCTAGTGGAACCGTGATTCCGAGGCTTTATGGCTTACCTAAGATCCACAAGCAACGTGTACCGTTGAGACCGATACTGGACATGTACAACTCTCCCTATCATCTGACTGCTAAGTGGCTTGTTAAACGCCTGGAGCCGGTCAGGAAAGCCATATCTAGGTACAGCCTCCGGGACACCTTCGAATTTCTTGACTCAGTGCAACAACTCAATCTAGCTGGACGGAAGATGTTCTCACTAGATGTGACGTCACTTTTCACCAACGTCCCGTTAGAAGAGACCATTGACTATCTCTGCGAGTTTATCCAATTGCACAACATCAACATCTGTATTCCAAATGACTGTTTAAGGCAACTTATATTGGCGGGCACTAAGAACATTCAGTTTCAGTTCAATGAGACGTTTTACAGACAAATAGACGGGGTAGCTATGGGTTCACCATTAGGACCGCTACTCGCCGATGTCTTCATGAGTAAGTTGGAGAACACTCAGCTAAACGAATATGTCAACAACTTGGTTTACTACAGTCGATACGTAGATGACATATTTTGTGTTGCGGATGGTCGAGTATGCATCGAAGATCTGTTAGCCCACTTCAACGGTGCACATAACAACATAGTGTTCACCACAGAACTTGAAAGTAACAACTCGTTGTCATTCTTAGATGTCCACATCACCAGAACATCAGACGGGACAGTACAAAGGAGAGTACATAGAAAGACAACGTGGACCGGCCAGTATACCCATTTCGCCAGTTTTCTTCCAATGAGTCAAAAACGTAACCTTGTCCGTTGTCTAACAGAAAGAGCGAGGAAAATATGCACGGAAGATACACTGTCAGATGAACTGAGTTTTATTCGAAGCGTTCTCGAACAAAATGGTTATCCGGACAAATTCATCCGGAGACACATGGAGCCACGAGCACCTAAAGTCCAAACAATCACCGCTGAAAAGCGCTTAATCTACTTATCACTGCCTTTCAAAGGTGATGTGATAGCAGAACGAACTACTCAAAGGCTCTGCAATGCAACAGCGAGAACCTACTTTGCAGCTGACCTCCGCGTCAGCTTCACATCTACGGCAGTCGTGAGTCAGCATCTCAAGGGGGGATTGCCGAGGTCGAATATTTCCTTCTGTGTGTACCATTTTTCTTGCTAGTGTCGAGCAAGTTATATTGGAAAAACGACCAGGAGACTGTCTGAGAGAGTACGAGAACATTGCCCGGCTTGGCTCTACACTGGTGTCAGAAAGACAGTAGTCAGCGCGGTGCTGGGGCATTTGGCCGACACAAATCACCAAGTGAATGTGCGAGAAGCCTTTCGGCCTATCTACAAGATATCTGGACGCCACACGCGAGCTCTCCGATGTCGCCTATTGGCGACAGCGGAAGCAATCGCTATTCGGCTCCATAATCCCGAATTATGTGCCCAAAAGAAGTTTGTACAAGCTTTATAGCTGCCATGGCCTCAAACTTCCCCATGTTACGACACCACGCTTGACCTTTCCACTAATGATGCCCAAGCCAGTGTGGTCACTTGATCGCATTAACTGGTCAATTCACTTCATTGATTCATTCTATTTAAATACACTGTGTTTGATTTATTCCTATCATCCGTGGTGTGTTGGCCTGATGCGAACCACCGAAAACAAGCTTGTTCGCCTAACTGTCTTTTGATTCTGATGTCATCTCAACGATTATTTTCTCAGCTAAATACAAATCCAACAAAGTTTTGAACTGTTGCACAGATGTTGCCTCAATCACACGTTCAGGCAAACTGTTCCAAATGTTTACCACTCTCCGTTCGAAACACAATGGGTGGAGAACACATTTCACATCCGGCACGACAAGTTTGTATCTGTGTCCCGTGTGCTGCATGGTCCTCGTAAGTGCAGCATTGGCCTCCGCAGTGGGAAGTCAACGAGATGTAGAATACGGTAGGTCATAA